ACCAACTGGGAATTCTCATAAAAGTAAGCTCCCTGACCTCTAGTACATCTCATCTGATGTCACATAAAATTTAATTCTTGTCATTTATCTCATATAAATAGTATTTGTGCTTCAAAATAACCATCAGAGTTAGATATTTCTGTCCTTGCCCTGAGTCACATGGTGCATTATCAGCAGACCCAGGTCTTCTTTCAAAGCTCAGTTTACTACCCCACAAAATCCCCCAAGCCTCAACCTCCCTTTTCAAAAAATAATTTCAGCCATCTCGAATCTAGATACTGCAGGACCCACAGTCAGTTCTTTCCTCATGCAATTTTAATGGCTAACACAGTCATCAAGAATGGGGGAACAGGAGAGACATCATCTTTCGTTATGGCTGAAATGTCATGTTGCAACTGGCCAGTGTCACACATGTAACAGATCTGCAGACCTGAGATCAGAAACAAATCTGAGACCAGATGTGAAAGGAAGGGGTGTTAAAAAAAATAAAAATCCATGAACTGGCAGTACATCTCCAAAAAGGAGGAAAAGGTTGGAACCGAAACCAGAATCCCTGTGAAACCAGAAGTGGGAACTGTGGGCGGCTCTCATGGACAAACTATATGGAAAAGTATTTCCTGTGCCTGGAAGGACACACATGTTTAGGGAAGGAAATGTGCTCACACTCAGACAGGAGTTCTTGGAGGGAGCAGTGAGGCTTCTGTACAGAAGACACTTCACCTTCTGACTCTGCTGGAACAGCAGCCTCTCAGTGTCCCAAATACCATCTTGGTAGAGGGTCTGGCTGTGGGCAGCCTTCTCTGATGGCAGCCTTGCTCAGATATACCAGACATATTGATTTCTCTGAACCTGTTTTCTGTAAATTGTATCTCTGAAGGGGTGTCTACAAAGTTGTCAAATGGAACAAAGACAGACATGCCTTTTCAGTGCTTAGTTAGCATAATGTCTTACACATAGTAGTGCCCAAGAAAAGGCAACAGGTACGATAGTGGATCTCCCAACTGTTTTGGCCATTGAAATGTCAGATCAGCTGAGAAGTGGGCAACCTTGTAATGTATTACTATCTAGGAAGTACCAAAGTTTATAAATTAGTTACATTATGTATGCATGGAACCATGTCATGTTCAAGAAAAGGAAAAAAAAATGGTGAGACTTTTCCAAAGGCAGGATACCAAAGGGCATCTAGGTCAGAGTGAGCATGGAGACCTGCTTATCCTTCAGTTTGTTTGGGTTTTATTTTTTTATTATTATTTTTGTGTGAGTGTACCGTCAAATCAGATCTGACTGGTACAGGAGGACATTGTCCCTTCTTCCCCGGCAGAGCATCTGGTGGATTTGAACCATGTGCCTCTGGGATTGTAGTTGCAGCTCCTTGCTACTAGGCCACCAGAGCTCCCCTATCCTTGAGTTTTTACCTCTTATGCCACTCCAGACCATGAGCCAATGAGTTTGACTCAAAGGACTTGTGTGACACCATGTCTTTAGAACTTACTGTGAGCGAACACTCAGTGCCTTCTTTATGCCACTCAGCTGCCTTGGAACTCAAATAATAAGAGACAAGTTTAATATTCAATCCAGCCAAAGGCATACCAAGCATAATAAGGCTATGGACTTAGGGTGGGACAGGTGAGTGTGTGAGTGTCTGCCTCAAACTAAGGTATCTCATGTTCCCTTGTTTGACTCCCAGTGGACCCCGAAGAAGGAATATTAGAGAACCAACACTAGTCCACCACTTCCCAGTGGAACAGCTGTCTGTCTATGCTTTAAGTAGAGCAGTCTTCACATAACACATTCCCCATTTGTCTCATATGAGAGCATGGGCCTGGTCACAGACCAACCTAAGTTCAAGTGTCACCACTTAATTGTGTGACTTTGGGTCAGACTATTTGGCCTCTTTTAACCTGTTTCCTCCTTAGTAACACGCAAGTAATTATGCCTCCAGTCTGAAATTGAGAAAAGCAAACCACAGTAGTGGGGTGTACTGTCAAATGGGGCTATTGCAGGTGCCTGTGTTACCCAAGGATTAAACCAACCCATCTCTTCTTGGCCTTCAAGGTCTCTCCTGTGCCCTAGACTACCTTTCCAGTTCTTATCTGCATACAGTCAAATTAACTCTACCACCCTCACTCACATTTGTCCTTAAACTGTTCCAGCTGCCTCCAATTCTTGCTGTTAAAAACCTCCAGTTCTCCTTAAGTGTGACTAGACTATATAACCTATTTCTAAAAACTAGAGTATGAAAAGGGAAAATATTAACCTTAAAGAAAAGAAACCTGGCAGATATCACCTTAAGCAAGAGATCAAAGTCAACAACAGTAATATCTTCAATGTGATTAAATGAGGTTACTTCACCCTCCATGGTATTCTTCCCCAAAATTTATACCTCCATCCAGTCTGATCATAAGAAATATCAGACAAAACCTCAAGGACATTGAACAAGATACCTTACCAGTACTCTTCAAAAATACCAAGGTCAAAAGAAAACAAGGAAAGATCGAGCAATTGTCACAAATTAAGGAGCTATGACAACTGACTACTGTGTGGGAGCCTGGTCTGCAACCTGGAACATAAAGAGGGTATTAGTGGACAAACCAGCGAAATGTGAGTAAAGTAGTGCTGTGCCAATGCATGTCTCTTCCTTTTGATCAATGTATCAAGGGTATGTAGCATTAGGGTAAACCAGATAAACTGTGTATGAGAATTCCAAGTAATATCTTTACAACTCTTCTGGAAAGCTACTATTATTTCAAAACAATAAATTCTATAAATAATAGCAACAATAATGATGTAAAAAAAGCAAACAAAAAACAACCTTCAGTTCTTTCAAAAATCCGATTGCCTTCCTCATAGGTACAGCTATTTGTTTCCCTGCTTTCTCTTCTGGCTTCAGATTTTAGAAGGCTGGGCTCAGGTCTCCAAACATCCCTCACCAAGTCTACTCAGTGGATACCCTTTCTCTAGTGGGTTCTTACTGATTCAGATCACACTAAGACCTCTAATAAACTGTTCAGGAAAACTATTTTACTTTCTATGCATTTCTATCCTCCTCTATAATGTTAGAACAAATTAAGATCGTTGTGAGAATAAGTTAATCCGTTACAGGGTCTCTAACACCGAGTGGGTGCCCAATAGAGCCTCCCAAAGAATACTGAATCAATTCAAAGAAAAATGGAAAAGGAGTGGTTGTTATGTACCATCTAGTCAGAACCAATTCATAGCTGACCCTGCAGCAGGTTTTCAGACTGTAAATTACATGGGAAAATATTATCCATCTTTCTCCTGAGGAGCAGCTGGTGGACTCAAACTGCATGCCTTTGGGGCTGCATTTTATAATTCCTGACAACTAAGCCACAGAGCTCTCTGAAAATGGGGAGAAGAAAAAAAATATGAACACAATAACACAAAAACTAGGTAGAGGAAATAAATACAAATAGTGTAATAAGTTCACCTATTAAATGACAGATTGGACTCAAAAGAGCCAAGTTATTTATAAAAGATGTACCTAAAGAAGAAATGAATTCTTATCACACCAAACCCACAGGGTTGCATGCAGCCATGAGCATCCACACTGCAGATAACTCTGTACTGGTCTTTTTGATACTCACCAGCACCTATTATTCCTAGGTCTTAGCATACAGATTATTTTATCAAGAAAATAAAAATCCTTACCACTGGGCCAATAGGCAACAACATCACATTAGATTTAGAAAAGATAAAAAGTCAACAGTTTCATTTTATTTGATCTAGAATCAACATCTAGGAAATCAAAACGTGTTTCATTGGGAAAATCTTGCCAAGGACCTCTTTTAGTGTTTAAGAAGAAAGATAGTAGTTTAAAAGCTAAGGTGCCTTTAAATTTTAATACTTGATGGTATTTTCAATTGCTTCCTATGCATTTGAACGTTGGACAATAAATAAGGATGACAGAATAATTAATTGATGCTTTGAATGGTGGTGTTGGAAAAGAATACTGAATATCCCACGGGCTGAGACAGGAACAAATCAATCTGGCTTGAAAGCAGTGCAGAATGCTCTTTAGCGGCAAGGACTGTGAAACTTCATCTCACATACTTTAGACATGCAGTCAGAAGGGGTCAGTCCTTGGAAAAAGACATTATGTTAGGAAAGGTAGAGACAGCTAGTAAAAGAGGGGACAACCCTTAAGGAAATAGAGTGACATACTTGACAGAGATCATGAGGATAGTTGTAAGGATCATGAGGATAGGAAAAGGTTCAGATCTGTTCTCAAGGTTGTTGTAAATCACAGTTAACTTGACAGCCCCCAACAACACACCATATATTGATAGCAATGGATACTTAATATAATGAAGACACAAAATTTATTTTAGGCACCAAAACTTTTATTAACCCACCTTCCTACTCTTCACACATTATAAGCCAAGTTAACCAACATGTTAGGTAGACCTATACTATACTGGACCCTCTCAATGTCTGGCTGTCACTTCCCTTGCTCCCTTTTGGCCATCCCTAAACATGTTGCTTTAACCAATATAAAAGAGGGATTAAAAGTTCCAACCTTCCTGTGCCAAGCTTATGAAAACGCCTAGTACTAAGCTAGGCCTAGGAGCATTAAACTCTAACAGTTCCACCATGCCCCTTTTTTAAAATCTTTTATGGGCTGAGGAACCTGTGAATCAAGCACAAGTAAAGACCCTCAGGCCAGGTGAGAATCGGTGTTGCCACTGCCAGTCTACAGACTGAGAAAGCACTTCCATGTGCTTCCCTGTGGGTGTCTCCTTCACACCTCTACCATCATAAGGACTTTGGGAGAGGTTCCTCAGTGTCCCCTGACATACCTGGAACAGTATGATGGACACAGTGGGGGGAGAGGGGCCCAAAAGGAGTGACCAGCCCCAGGGAGTCAATCAGGAGGGGCAGGGTGGCAATGAAAAACCAAGCTCAAGGTTAGTGCCATTTGTTCTTGGAAAGAACTGGAGCCTGGGCAGGGACATCACTCGGAAGGAGAGGAGCAGGGACATCAGTTGGGAGGTGAGGGACAGGTTTGTCTTTCAGTAACGGTAGTGGTCAGCCTTGAAGGGGCCATCAGCGGGTATGCCCAGGTACTTGGTCTGCTTCTCAGTCAGCTTGGTCAGCTTCACGTTCAGCTTGCCCAGGTGAGCTTCAGCCACTGCCTCGTCCAACTGCGGGAAAGACAGGAAGACCTGAGATTAGTGTCCTGCTTTTGGGATCCCTCCCCAACCTCCAGTCACATAAAGAGGCAGAATCTGTTTTTTTGGGTGACAAGGACATGTATGTTACCCAAATTACCTCTTTCCATCCTCACACTCAGCCTGCCTTGTGGATGTGTTGTTTTTGGCCATCCAGTTCCCCTTCCCGGAATGGAAACTACACTACATCTTCCTCTCCAAGTGGTGCCTCCCCATGTTCCAAACAACTACCAAAATGCTTTTGTGGTATTTATCTACGGACAGGACATATTTACCGTGACTAGTGGAGAAAGGGTCACTATTGGGAATTCTAAAACATGGAGGTTATTGGTCTCAGCTCACCAGTGGTGAATCAAGTGAACACAGGTGAAACAGAGACAGATGGAGTTATGATGACAGTGAATCCATCCTTGGACCCAGTGTCAGAGTCTTGGACTTCTCCAAATAAAGTCAACAGAGGGCAGTGACAGACAGACAGTGTGTGTGACTGAGTACTTGCAGACCCGTGCAAAGGGGTGAAGAATGGGAGGGATAAGTGGCAGATGGGGGAAGTGAGGGGATTCCCAGGCTACCTGGGGTGTTAGGATGAACATGGATTTGAATTAGAGGACCTGACTTCTTTATAAGCACCCAGACCACAGGCAGTAAGTGAGACATGTGCCATGCTTAGTGTTACCTGCAACATCTCATCCTAAGGCAACAGAACGGCAGCCTGTGGAGCTACATTCAGCTCACAGATTTGATCCACCAGGTAATTTTTAAAAACTAAAGAGCTGCCTAGATTTAAAAATTGAGTGTTTCATACTAAGATCTTCACAGCTGGTTTCTCGTGAAAGGTCAGAAGCTCTGATTCAATGAGTTCAGGGGTGATGACAACCTAGGAACAACCACCTCTGTGCTTGACATTTTTAGGTTCCTGACTGGCCCATTCCACTCACCTGTGTGACCCCAAATCTAAGGACATCCTTACAATTCCTCAAGTTCTACTGCCTTCATTTTACAGATGCAGAGAGGAAGACACAGAGTAGTCAAGTGACTTGTCTCGTTACACAGCTTCTAAATGGTTAAGCTGAGATTCAAACCTAATGTGTCTCACTTCAAAGCTCTTCCCACTACCTGCACTCTAGGTGTGCTCTGGGGTGAGGGGAATCATTCCCTACTTCAGGTCTATTTCCTCTTGTCAAATAGAGAGGATTTTCTGCCCTGGAGGAACCTGTGGAGTCCTCTATTCTAACATAGGAGACTGGCAAACACTTTGTAAATTCTGGTGAGTCCTGCACAGGGAGTCCAGGGACAAAGGCCATTAATTTAGGTTGGAGGTAGGCACCCACCTTCTTGGGTAGGAAGTGGACCCCGACGGCATACTTGTCCGGGTGGGTCCACAGTTCAATCTGTGCCAGAACCTGGTTGGTGAAGGAGTTGCTCATCACAAAGCTGGGGTGGCCCATAGCACAGCCCAGGTTGACCAGCCGGCCCTCAGCTAACAGGATGATGCGGCGTCCATTCTTCAGCCGGTACCGGTCTACCTGTAAGTAGACAGAGCGGAGGTAAGGGATGGTGGACATTACTCCCACTGTCCAGCAGCCTCCTCACTCGTAAACTCCAACACAGAGCCCAGTGCATATGACAAACAGCCAATATTTCTTTATTAAACTTTGATAATTTAATGAACTGATACATGTAAAGCACTCATAGTAAGTATTCAGATAAATACTGTTACTGTTATTGTTGCCATGTACCTGTGCTAAATGCTTTATACATAATACTTAGATATTTAATCCTAATAACAATCCTATGATTTAATACTACTATCAGAACTTAAATACTTAGGGAGCTCTGGTGGTGGCCTGGTGGTAAAAAACTGCACTGCAATCCCAAAGACACAAATCCACCAGCTGCTCCATGGGAGAAAGATGGGCAGTCTTCTCCCGTGCAATTAACAGCCTCTGAAAACCTGCTGGAGATACAGCTATAGGTTCCAACTCAATGGTTTTCAACATTGCTATTTAAAAGGAGTTATGGTAACTTAGTCCATTATGCATTATCTACTAAGCAAAAGGTTAGTAAAACCCACCAGCTGCTCCGTGGGAGCATTCTCCTTCCCTAGAGATTTACAGCCTCAAAAACTTGAGTCAGTGTAAACTGGAATCAACTTAGTGGCAGTGGGTTTTGGTTTTGGGTTTGGGTTTATTAGCACTTTAAAAAAGCCCTTGGGAGTTGAGCTGCCCTGCCTCTCTAGAATGGCAAAGGCATCTAGCAATTTAAATCCAACAGCAGCTCTGTCAAAGAAAAATGGTTCATCATCTTCTGCGGGATTTATAACCCAAGAAACCTAATGGGAGTGTCAGTCATGAGTCAGTGGTAATGAGTTGAGTTTGGTATCCACTCACTTATTTGTGAAATACCATTAAAAAGAATGTCCTGGGGGCGGGGGAGAAGCCCTAGTGATACAGTGGTTAAGCACTTAGCTGCTAATTGAAAGATCTGTGGTTTGAACCTACTAGGGTGTCCAGGGGATAAGAGACTGGTGTTTGACTCCTGTAAAGACTTTCAGTAGAGCTGTTATGAGTCAGAATCTAACTGGCATCAATGAATCCTAGTATTTAAAGGGATTCTTGTGTAGTGCAAACAATTAAGTGCTTAACTACAAAGATTGGTGACTTAAAGGCACCCAGTAAGGTAAGTCTGGTCATCTACTTCTGAAAGTTCATCGCCTTGAAAACTCCACAGAAGTCAGAATTGACTCAATGGCAACTAACAGCAATACTTAAAGTCATCAGGTTTAGGTTAAGTCAGTTGTCCTTATACTCACTAAAAGGAGGCTGAACTTTGGGCCTGGACAGCTTGAGAACAGATAAAGAGTTCTCAACCACCAGGCTTGGTAAAAGCTGAATGTCCCAGCCATCAACCTTGGCTGTATATTGAAACTACCTTGGAAATGGAGAAAAGGAAGGAAGGAAGACACACACTCAGATACACACACACACACACACACACACGTGCTTTTCTCCCTTGAGATCTTCACTTGTTTTTCTCCATCCTGCATCCTGACTCCCCTACAATCCCCGAAAAGCCCATGTTTCCAGGCTACTTGAAGAAGCCAATTACAGGTCCAAGGAAAGGTCTTTGATGTCTATGAACTATTCATTCATTCCACAAATTTTCAGTAATAAATTTGAGCTGAGTCCATTACAGGGATACATCAACCTGGACTCTGTTTTGATGGTATAACTGGGGAAATCAAAACCAGTGATCCCAACTGTATGTGATGAATACTGCACTACAGGTCTACACAAAGGAATGTGAGCATCCCTCTCTCCCTAAGAAGCTGGCCAAGAAGTGAGTCCAAGTTGGAGCTGGAGGATGAGTGAGAGTCCAGTGGACAAAGAAATGAACATTTATTTCATACATATATATATGTATGTGTGTATCTATATATGTATGTGTGTGTGTGTGTGTGTGTGTGTGTGTGTATAAAAGGCACTTAGCAGAAGCAGGGACTAAGGTAATGTGTTCAGGAAGAGGCCCAAGTATTTCAGAAGGCAATAGGAGAGGAAATTGGTTAGAAGAAGGCTGGCAGAGCTGTCAAACATCTAAGGGTAAGAACAGTCCAACTTTGAAGAACAGCTTGAGGAAGGAGGTGCCCACTACCCCAAAGAAGCTTTGTGTGGCCGATGCAGAGAAAGGCCTGGCCAGCTTCCAGGTCTGTGGCTACCAGGCCTTCCTAGGCCAAAGATGGGGGTGCCCCATATCTGGTCTGAAACTAACACTCAACCTAACAGGCCCCACCTGAGGGGGAAACCCACAGTGAGGAGAGGTGAGGTAGGGCAGGCTGCTGCATGAGCAAGTGAGGTATGTGTGCATGTGTGCTGCAGCTCTGATCAGTGGTATCAGCCAGATTCTCTACAATGTCTCAAGGCCAGGCATGGGCATAAGAGCACCCCATTTCCTACAGTGCTTTTCCTAATTTTAAAAAGTTTAATTTTTAGTATGTAAAATTAGAAAATAAAAAAGGGGTTTTTTTAAAAAACAAACAAACAAACCACCTTCTTAAAAGACCAGTGAGGTTACATCCAGTTTTCCACATTACAAATAGAATTGTGAGGAACATCCTTGTGCATATATTCCATTAACAACTATGGATCAATTATTAGGAGGAAGACTGCCCAAATAATTTGCTTAATTCTACAAAACATAAACCAAACTCCTAGCTGTCAAGTGGAACTCTGACTTACAGGGCAGTGGCAGGACTCACAGGCAGTCCTGACAGGACAGGACAGAAGCACCCTATAGGGTCTCCAAGGCTAGAAGTCTTTATAGAAATAGATAGCTACATTTTTTGCCCTCAGGACTGCAAACACCAGGTTTAGCAGGTAAACACTTAACCACTATGCACCAGGACTCTTTGCTCCTGATATCTAAAGTCAAATGCCTTTCAGAAACATCCTTTTATAATCAAAGAAAAATAACTTGATAATAGAACTCAAATAAAATGTACACATTCTAAGAGTTCACTTCTCAAGACCTCACTGCAGAATTAGTCTTCCTAAGCTTGCCTTCCCAGCTCCATCAACAGTCCCAATTTCCACCCAGCTGTCAAGCCAGAAGTCTAGTGTCTCCCTGGTTCTTCCATCATTCTGATCTCAGTCAACCCTTCTATCCATTTCTTTCTCCTTTCTCCATTTCTCCTCACTCTTAAGGGGAGGCTGCCATGACCCCTCACTAGGATTATTCGTAGTAGTCTCCTTTAGAGCCTCCTTATCTCCTCCTTCTCTACTTTTTCCATTCTCTACATAGTAGCAAGTGAGACCTTTCCAAAAAAGCAATCTCACCACATGCCTCACCTGTCTAAAAGCTTCTAGGACTCCCAACAGCATTCACGGCTGGCTCAGAAACCAGGCCTCCTGTCTCCCCACGCTACTAACCAAGCGGCACCAGCCTCTTTATCTCCCCTCCATGGTAGCCAAGCAACCATGAGCTCTGTCCCTCCATTCAGCCGGAAGTGCTGGAGCTGCTCACCTGGGGCTTTATGTTCACCTTCTCCAGAGCATTCTGATTGAGCCACTTGACATCAATCTCCACATCAAAGTGTCCAATGTTACACACGATGGCATCATCCTGCATCTGCTCAAAGTGCCTGTGGGGGAGCCGAGTCCACGGGAGACAGTTAGAAACAAAGAGCCCGTCCAGGCCTGTCTCCCTCCCTTCCACCTGCTCCAGGACCCTCGCCTGGCACCTACCGGCCAAGGATAATATCGACACAGCCTGTGGTGGTGACAAAGATGTTGCCTTCCTTACAGGCCTCATCCATGGTGGTTACTTCATAGCCTGTGCAGAGAGAGGCCGTGGGTTATCAGAGGTGGCATTACTTCTCCTCAGGCCCCAGTGGCTGGCAGCCAACTCTCACCCTATCGTACCCTCCATGGCGGCCTGCAGTGCATTGATGGGGTCAATCTCAGTGATGATGACTCGTGCCCCGAAACCTCTCAGGGCCTGAGCACAGCCTTTGCCCACATCGCCATAGCCTGCCACCACAGCCACCTTGCCCGCAATCATCACGTCTGTGGCCCTCTTGATGCCGTCTATGAGGGACTCCCGGCAGCCATAGAGGTTGTCAAACTTGCTCTGTAAGAAGAGGACAGAAGGGGGTGATAGGACAGGCAAGGCCCCAGAGCCAGGCCCTCAAAGCTTTGAGCCATTAGTCTTCACAGGATCCAGGTGCCTTGGACCTGCTCTCAGCATCTCAGTATGATGGGCCCTGAGCTGACCATCTTCTGCGACTCTATCTCTGGAACGAGTCCCCCACACCTCCCTTACCACCCTGAACCACTGTAAGACTATCTCTAGCTTTTATCTCCTCAGCAATTCAGCTTTGAGGCTTTAATTATCTTCATTAATGACTCATCACTTTAGCCTTAACTAACAACCTTCGCTGAGTTTTGCGTCCCCAGACTGCAGCCTTCCCAGAGCCCTTCTTCAAGGCTTACTCTCAGCTGTGTCAGAAGTGTCACTGCCCCATGGGCTCACCTTGGTGACAGAGTCGTTGACATTGATAGCAGGCACCTTCAAAATCCCTTTGGCCATCATCTTATACAGGTTGTGGACTCCAGTCGTGGTCTCTTCAGAGATACCTCGGATACCTGAAGGGGCAGGGGAGGAGCCTCAGATTCAGCCCTCATTCTCATTCAAACCAAAAAGGAGCTACAGAGGAATAGGGAGGGCTCCTGAGAGCTTTAGAAAGACTGTACCCAAATGCACCAAATTCCCCTTTTGGGAATTTAAAGTCATTCATTTCTGAGTCCACGTCTCTGTGACTGGCACCACAGTCTACTCATTAATTCAGACCTACACAAAGGAGTCACTCCTGCTACCTTCACTAGCTAACCAGTCATCAAAACAAACCTAACAGTCAATTCCCAATTCCTCCATCTCTGTCCACCACTGCCCTTCTCCCTGTCACTATTTCTCTCTCCATGTCTCCATGCAGCAATCCATCCTCCACACAGCAATTAGAAGCTGGACAACAAAACCTAAGCATTGTTAAGTATACAATTTGATGACATTAATTATCTTCAACCTCGTGTGCTTCCATCACCACTATTTTCAGTGCTTTTCATCTCCCTAAATAAAACTCTTCACTTACCAATGATCTCATTAGATATTTTTCATTTATGACAATTTTAAGAAATCAACTTAAATGACCTTAAAAACTGCTAAGAATTCTTGTGTTTCAGTGAGAGTGTGCCTCCCTCCTGAACCCCAAGCCTTTGATGCCTCACATCTCATCCCTCCCTGAAGTCTTAATGAGGTTGGGGGAAAAAAGCTAGTGGTAGAGCTATGGCTTTGGGTAGAAAGTGAACCAGTAACCACTAATGAACTTTTTGTATATTTGCCCATCTTAGATAGTTCATTCATTTAAATGGGATTAAATACTATTTGTCCTTTTATTGTCTGTCTTATTTCATTCACCAGATTTGTAAGATTCATAGATTCATCCATGTTGTGTCAGAGCTTCATTTCTCTCCCCCCAACTTTATTTTTATTTTATATTGGTTTTCATACAAAATTCCCATTTTGTATCATTCATGTACATTGTGTTTCACACATTGCTGCATCTACCTTGTTTCAAATATCACTCATGTACAGTTTTATAAAATTAATCCTCATTAATCTATACCTACTATTACCCTATTTTCTTTTTAATTTAGCAAAACAAGTTTAAAAAGTTTATTACAAAATGCAACAGAGGAATGGCTGCTGAAAGGTCATATTAACACGTTGCCACACAATTTTAATTGACAACCATACTTAGAAACACGTTTTTTTTTCCGATGTACTACCATCATTTGCAGCAACGTGTTAAAGAGAAAAGGAAAGACGAAATGGGGGAACACCCCTGGAAAGTCAGGGGTGGTCCCAAGCCTTTTAGCATGCTGCCAGCAGACTAAGAGTTCATTTCTCTTTAGGAGTAAATGAAATTCCACTGTATGTATATATCACATGTTTATCCATTCATCTGTTGATGACCTTTTGGCTACTGTGAATAAAGGTCTCATACACACTAGTATATGCATATCTGTTTGAATATCTGTTTTCCAGACTTTGTTGTTGCTACTGATGACCAGGTTAGAACTAACTCGTAGCTGACCCTCCAGTGGATTTTCAGAGACAGTAAACTGCACTGGAGGAGCCTGTTCATCTTTCCCACAGAGAAGCTGGTGGATTTGAACCGCAAGCCACGTGTCAGCAGCACAACTCCGTATTACTAAACTATGTAGGAGAATTGCTGGGTCATGTGGTAATTCTGTTTAACTTTTTTTTTCCTTGTTGTATACCATCAAATCAGATCCAGTCCAGCTGGCACAGATTTCCCCTCCTTCTCCAGCAGAGCATCTGATGGATTCGAACCGCACACCTTCAGGATTGCAGCACAGCTTCTTGCCACTAGGCCACCAGAGCTCTCTTGTGTTTAACTTATGAGGTACCGTAATGGGTGCACTATTTTATATTCCCACCAGCAATGGATGAGGTGTCCCAATTTCTTTATATGCTGGGTTTTCTCATAACAGCAGTACTTGTGAGGGTAAATGGTATATAATTGTGATTTTGATTTCCCTAATGCCTAATGCGTTATCTTTTTCTGACAAAATGTCTAGCCAAGTCCTTTACTCATTTTTAAAATTAAGCTATCTACTTGTTAACTAGCAGTCAATTTACCCCTTCTTTGATCAAATATTTTTTGTTATTATGTGTAAATATTTTAAACAGTTGGCCATTTCAACCATTCTTACATGCACAATCCAGTGAAATATTAATTATATTAAAATGTGCAACCATCACTACCACCAGCCATTTTTAACATGTTTCTTTTCAGAGAATATCTCTTTCCAACCCTCCAAGTACTTCCTCTTGTTCTCAATATCAAGCCAAACTGCCTTTCACTGAAACTCAGACACTTCCTATAACACTCCCTGCTCCCTTCACTTATTGCAGCCATGCTAGCTTCCTTTCTGTTTCCTGAATAATCAATTCTTTCCTACTCACTGCTCCCCTTCCTGCCCACACTTTCTACAAAGCTGGCTTCTTTCCAGCTCATCTGGGCCCAGCCTTGTCCCAGCCCTTGGGCTGTAATCTCAGCCCGGCCTCCTCCAGCTGCTCTCATCTCACATCATCAGAAGCCAGGAGGCCAGGCCCTGGCACGTTTGCAGGCGCCCGCCATCCCCCCAAGTACTCTGACGCTTTAGGCACTGGGAGTTCTGCCAGGCCTGCTGCCTGCATGTAGGTGAGCAGTCCCCATTCCAGCTGCCAACCCTCAGCCCACCCACCCAACCCTACTCACCCGACAAGAGCTGTGGGTACTTAGTGTGAATAAGGTTGGTGAGGTCACCACCATCGTCCAGAATCATGTTGAGTGGTCCGTCCTTGAAGTATAGAGTCTGCTCAATACACCACAGGTATTCCTCATCTGTTTCACCTTTCCAGGCATATACTGAAGGGTTGAAAGGCATGTCAGACCTGGCCTTCCCCACCAGTCCCTGCTCCAGGCAGCCACCTGGCAGAATCAGTGCTATCTCCTTGCAACACATCCAGTCCCTCTAAGGACTGGGTCATATTAAGAACAGAGTTTGGAACCAGAGAGAGCCAATTTCAAATCCTGGCTAAGCCACTTAACACCTGTGTGACTCTCGGCAAATCACTTCACCTCTCTGGGCCTCAGCTTCTCGGTTGAGATGGTATCCCACATATTATTGTTGTTGTTATGTATAGTTAAGTCAGAATTGACCCACAGCTGACCCTCCAGTGGGTTTTCAGGGGCAGTGAATTGCACGGGAGAAGACTGCCCCTCCTTCTCCAACAGAGCAACTAGTGGATTCAAACTGTGTGTGCCTTCAGGATGGCAGCGCTGTTTCTTACCACTGGGCCACCAGAGCTCCCTTCCCACATATTAGTATATGGAAATAATGATGGGCTGCCTTGACCCCAGGGCCTGGAGCATCAACCCACAGTGGCCAAGGCTCCCATCGACAATGCCTGCTGCTGGTAATGGGGAGCTTGGGAGGAGCATTACTCAGTATCCCATGAGGCAGAACCCAGAGCTCATTCTGCTCTGAAAGGGCCCAGCAGCCTGTCTGGTAGGTGGTCCCATGAAAAGTCTTGCCAAAATATTACTAATAGCAGCTACTATGCAGAGCACTGTGTGCCAGCCATTACTAAAACTGCTTCATGCCCTACCTTATTTGCCCTCGTTGAAACCCTAGGAGTAGGCATTACCATCATCAGTTACAGACACCCAAAAAGAAGCTCAAATATGCCCAGATTATTCGGCATGGCATTGGAGGGTGGGTCTGAGACCATAGTGCTTCTGACCTCCAGACCAGGCTCCTCCCATCACATGGTGTGGCGACACAGGTGTGAGGTTCCCAGGAGCCACCTGTGGCAAGTGGGGCTGGTGGTCCTACCTCCCGACTAGGGCCGACAATGGTCTTAAAAACAAAAAAGCCCAGGAGACAGCTGTGGAGCCAAGGCAAAGCTGAAGAGTGGGAGAGATGTGTGTCTAGCCCTGATTGGCCACTCAAGTAGTCCTTCCTCCCTCCCTCCTTCTGACCTCCACCTTTTCCTGGTTAAGAAGAATCTTGGAAATCTTATCTAATTACCATCAAACTACTCCATTCCCAAAGCCCAGGTAGACATATGCCCATTTCTCCAGGACCTTGTGAGAAAGTCCTTCCATGTTACTCCTGGTCTTGTTCCAACCTTCTAGACCACCAGACCCCAGGCAATGACCATTCAGGCTTTTTTTTTTTCTATCCTTACACTCCCCAGATTCTCCTAAAAGCAGATCCACATCTTTCCTTTAAGAGATGCCCCCCTCTATATCACTGATTCCCAAGCATATAATTCAACCCTTCCTTCTGGTCACTTGTGGTTGGCCAACATTTACCTTTCATAGGATTTCAGACAAAAGTGAAACAAAATGGCTCGTTCTTGTGGATTCTGTGAACATGACTCCTCTCCCCTGCCACAGTGAAGCGTGTCTCTACAGGAGTCAGTAAAGCTGACAGGGAGAAGCAGATTCCCTTCACAAATCCCCACATCCCTGGTATTGAACAAGACTTACCTGGAATGCCAGCCTTGGCAATGGCAGCTGCTGCATGGTCCTGGGTAGAAAAGATGTTGCAGCTGGACCACTGGACCTGGAAGAGGCAGCAAGACAGAGCTGCTGATTATTGGTAGCTCAGAAAGACTAGGGTCCTAGGCAGGGAGGAGAAAGCCAAGGATCTGAGGGTTAGAGACTTGGGATCGAGGTCCCGCTGGCTCTTTGACCAATGGCTGGTGACCCTGGGTGAGTGGATGGGAGGCAGCGCAAGAGAGATCTGAGGTGTGGCTTAAAACATGAGGAGTACTTTTTAAGTTAAAATTGGGAAAAAGCTAAAGCAAGGAGATAGGTGAAGAAGCTCTGCAGGAGTCCAGGTGAAAGATGTGACAAGAACATGGGAGGTGAGGAGAAGCTGTCAAATTCTGCTTGTATTTTGAAGGTTGAACTGATAGGATTTGCTGAGTGATAAAGTATGAGAGAAAACAGAGTCAGGGATGACTTCCAGGTTCTTGCACAGACAGAACCTACAAGACTAGAGTCTCCATTTACTGAAATGGTGAAAACTAGGGGTGGAGGGACAGCAGGAAATCCTCGGGAGTTTGCTTGCATTTGTTGAGTTTGAAATGTCTCAGAACAGCTAGACATACATGTCTAGAGTTTTTCTGGGGAAAAGAAATCTAAACTAATACATACTAATACATATGTATGGGAGTCATCATCAGATAGCATTTAAACCATAAAACCAGAGTGATTATTAAAGAATAATAAGCAGTCTAAGGACGGAGACTTGAGGTATGATTGGCATCCTGTTTCCCTCTGGGGGAACCACACCTTGCTCCTCAACTTCCTGTGAGTGTGAGATTGGTACACATGACCCAGGCTGAATCAGAGCTTCCATCCTTTTTATGACTGATTGCTCTAAGACAGGTACATAACTCAACAAGAGCCAATGAAAATCAGTTCTTGGTTGGCTAAGGGGGCACTAGAATCCTTCCTGCTGGGACTGAGCTGAAAGTGAATTGGAGACAGTCAAAGTCACTTTGCAATATCAGGGAGAAAACGTGTCTACGTAGGACCAGCAACCACAAAAAGCAGTTAATACGAGGAGAGATGGGAGAGAAAACCCAAGTGCTAAGTCACTACACTTGGACAATCCCCAACTCACATAGTCTTCTACCCTGGCTTGAGTCCAAAATGGGCAAGAAGTCTCACAGCTATGGGGCTTACCTCAGCACCCAGGGCGACCAGAGTCTCAATGAGGACTGCTGTCTCCACGGTCATGTGCAGGCATCCAGCGATGCGGGCGCCCTTCAGTGGCTTGGAGGCTGAGTACATCTCCCGCATGCGCATCAGGCCTGGCATCTCATTCTCCGCAATGTCCAGGGCTTTGCGTCCCCAAGAGGCTAGGCTGATGTCAGCTACAGGGGCAAGATGAACAAGGGTTCCATGAGTCACCTCATCTCATTAACCAGGCAGCACGGCAAGAGGGTCCTGAGCCACTTGTGGACTGAAAATGAAAGGGCTTAGTAATCTGGTCTTTGCATTATCTTAATCAATCAGCAGTTATTTATAAAGCCAGGACCCTATGGTTTTAAGAATAAAGAAAAAAGGAAAGGCATATGTCCTGCCTAATTGAAGTACATAGCCTTACAGGAGACTACAATTACATAATCACACAGGGATATGAACATCACATCCCAGGCATGTCCCTTTGACAAACAGCTATCAGACTGTATCTCCCACTACCCTTTTTATAAAAAAATTATTTTAAAAAAAAATTTTACAGGGGATCTCTGGTGGCCTAGTGGCAAGGAGCTGCAACTACAATCCCAGAGGCGCATGGTTCGAATCCACCAGATGCTCTGCCGGGGAAGGAGGGACAATGTCCTCCTGTACCAGTCAGATCTGATATGAGGGTACACTCACACACACACACACACACACACACACAAATTTTACTTGTTTTCATTATCTCACTGTTTTTGGTTGATATAGACCTCTTTTTTCCCCCAATCTTTTTTAATTCATTGTTACATATTTCCTCCCTCCCCTAGCCCACCCTTCCTTGTTTCAGATTGCTGTCATTACAAAATGCCTATCATATATTCCTTTCAGACAGTTCTCCCTGAAAGGAATATATGTTAGGTATTTTGTACCCCACATTTGTTCTAATGCAGTGTTTATTATCTAGCCATTCTTTTCCTATTCTTGCCTGAATCCCCCACCATATCTGTCCTATGTTATAACAGTGGTGTTAAGCACTATTTGTCCTTTTATGACTGAGATATTTCACTCAGCATAATATCTTCTACGCTCTTCTATGTTGTGTAAGGTTTTAGGAGTTCACTGTTTTGCAGTGCTGCATAATATTCCATTGTGTGAGTATACCATCGCTTTTCTATCTATTCATTTGTTGATGAGTACTTGGGTTGCTTCCATCTCTTTGCTACTGTGAATAACGCAGCAATAAACAAAGGTGTACATACATCTGTTTTTGAGTCATGGCTCTCGATTCTTTAGGGTATATTCCCAGTTGTGGAACTGCTAGGGTCAAATGGTATTTCCATTTTCAGCTTTCTGAGAAAGCACCAGGCTGCCTTCCATAGTGGCTGTTCCAAATTAACACTCCTACCAGCAGTGAATAAGAGTTCTAATCTTTCCACAACCTCATCAGCATTTGTTGTTTGCCACCCTGTTGAACTTTGTTATCGTTGCTGGGGTGAGATGATATAATTATTTTGATTTGCATCTCTGAGAGCTAGGGATTTTGAACATTTCTTCATCTATTTGCCATCTGAACATCTTCTTTGGTGCAGTGTCTATTCATATCCTGTGCCCATCTTGTGACTGGGTTGTTTACCTTTTTCTTGTTGAGATGTTGGGAGTATTATATAAATTTTAAAGATAAGTTCCTTATCAGACATGTCATCATGAAATTTTTTCCCCTAGTCTGTGGGATTCCTTTTTACTCTGTTGGAGAAGCTTTCTGATGTGCATAGGGATTTGATTCTTAGCAGGTCCCTTCATCTGTTTTATTCCCTCCTGGTTGTAGGTCAAGTCACTCTTATTCATTAAAGATTTTTACTGAGTGAAATATCCCAGTCACAAAAGGACAAATATTACATGATGCCACTGTTGTAGAATGGGACTGTCCTTGGGGTTGGGGAGAGACTGAGTAA